TGAAGGGCTGCCGCAGACTGTCTCCTACAAAACTGCAGCAGGGGTTTGGGTTTCAGTGTGGTGTTGGAGTATGTGGTGGGGGTTTTTTTGTTGTTTGGAGGTTTGCTTTTTGTCATTGTGTGTTTTGGGGTGGGTTTTTTGTGGGTGAGTGGATTTTTTTTTGTTTATTTGTTTTTCGGGGGTGTTTTGTGGTTGGGTGTTGGTGGTTTTTTTTTACCCCCTGGGGGTTGAGGTTGCATTGTAGTTGTTCTCACAGCATCCCCTATCATCTCCACTTCTCCAGCTTTGTCAAGAAGACACTTTGAAATATCTGGGCTTTTCAGAATGATAAATGAGATCTGCCTATGATGGAGACAGTAACTCAATAGCACAGTAGGTTGTAGCTCTGGTGGCCTAGTGCATCAGCTCTTCATCTACCATAAACGCTATGATAATTTGTTCAGTATGCTGTGTTTTCATGGACTACTTACAGATATGGCTAGTAGAAGGACAGTTTGGAACCTGAATGTTTGCCCAATTATGCTAGAAATTATTTTTATTGAGAAGGATTTTTCATCTGTTTTCCAATCTGTGGCTTTTTTTTCATATGCTGTCACACAAAACCAGGTGTGACAGTGTGTTGAAAGAGTTGGCACATCAACAGCATTCTTGGGGAGTACAAGTACTTTAGGTTCTAGTAAAGGGTGAGCTTCTCGTAACTGGTGCAAGAAATGTTGCAGCCTCGATAACGGGCTGAACTGTCCCCCCAACAATACCTCCATGCATGTAGAGCTGCTACAGCCCTTCCTGTTCTCACGGGCTTATACTTTGTGTGCATTCACAAAGCCCCCAAAAGAAATATTCCCATTGTGTACCAGTGAGATAAATCTGCCTTTTGTCCCTATAAGTCTCATAGAGTTCACAAGGAAAGAACACTTTGTCCTGATGACCTTAGCTGTAATCCCTACATCCTGGCACTAATCACTGCTCCTAAATTTCAGGTTATCATACTGAGTTACGAGTGCACATAAGTTACCAGTAAACTTCTTGAAGCAAGCATGTTTCTTAAGGTTGTAAAGCTTACATGCAAATGCAGAACAATAACTATTTTGAAATATGATTTGGAGAAATGAGTCCACTACGTTCTTAATCATGTAAGAGAATCTTAATTGTGTAAGAAAAATACATATTTCTAAGATTCTACAGCATCCCCAAGTTCTGGGTATACAGAATTCTACAGGAAAACACATTAATTTCCCTAAAAAAAATTAGTTTCTTTTTGATTGTGATTATACATCAATTGAATGATACAAAAGTTCCAAGCGATACAAAAGAATTGAGCAGAAGCAAATTTGTGTCTCCTTTAAGTGCCATATTACTGCAAGGTGAGGGGAGGACTTAACTGCAGCTGCAGAGCCTCTATCCAGGGTCATCAAAGTTTTCAAGTTTCTCAAGCTGCCACCTCTTTCTGATGGGAGCTGCAACAGCCATAAAACACCTCTCATCCCTTCCCCATCTGTTCCAGGGTTTTGTGGTCCACAGATGCAGATATGTTCATCTGGGAGTGTGGGGGGAATCCTGGTCTTTTTGGGCACAGCACTGAATGGTCATCTCATGCCTGGTTTAATTTTGGCAGTAGGGATGCAGTGTCCTTCACTAGATGGTAGTCCCTGGGTGTCACTCTGTGCAGGGGTGGGGCTGCAGGGCACAGGGGACCCAGAGCTGTCTGGCTTGGCATAGGTTTCATCTGCTGGAGAACTGGTGGGGAGGCCGCCCTGGGGGGAGTACGCTGCTTGCTGGGCAGGTGTATGCTCATCTTAGGAGCTCCTGCATCTCAGTGGTTTTCAGGTATTACCTCCAAACGTCTTTTTGGCAAAGCAGTTAGGCTCTGCAGATAGTACACAATGCATTACAATGAACAACTCACTGTGGATGAATTTATACATGGTGGGGCCTGAGTCCACTCATGAGGCTATCCAGAAATGGCTGCCCTGAAATAAGATGGAGACAGTGAGTACAGTGTTGTGTTTGCTACAGAAAGAGGGACCATGTGCAGGTGGACTAGTTCGGGAAGAGTTATTAAATCCAGAAATTATTAAAATTAATGTACAGGCACTTAGCTCTTTTGGGGAGCAGTGAGTGGCCTATCCCTGTTTGACTGAAATGTGTTTAGGAAATGTTATGGGGTTTAAATGCTCCCCTGTTATGATGGTTTTGGTATGGTCAGTAGCACACCACAGGTATGTGTTTCTGACCCAGGGAGGGAGTGTGGTCTCTAGCTGTGTTCAACCGCTTAGGCATTTGCACTGGCTTATACATGTCAGCCAAAATGACAGACTTGAGCCAACAGCTATGGAACTTGTGTTAGTGGCTGTGCCCAGCATCCCATAAGGAGCAGGCTGATCTCTCTATCAGGGCTGTGCCAAGGCAAATACAGCCTCTCCCATCCCTGCCCTTGGGGGTTGGTGTTGCAAGCAAAGCTCCAGGAAGAATCCAGTTCCTGGGTTCTGTGGGCTTGGTAAGGTGTTTGCATTGCTCTAGTGCCTGGGCTTTATCGCTCCCCTGGGGACAGAGCTGGGATAAGCCGGTGTGGCCCTTGGGGGCGGGAGGGGTTGATAATGCACTCTCCATTCTGGTGGCCACAGAGTTACAGGAATGCTTGAAACAAGGAAAATGGGTAGCACAAATATGATTTGCTCCCCTGATCTTTCATTATTAATTGAGGAGTTTTGAGGGGAGTTGGTTTGGTTTGGGTGTTTGACTTTTTTCTTCCTCTAAAAAAAAGAAAACAAAAAACCAAACACACCCCCACACACCCCCCTCAAATCTACTCTTACGTGTGGGAACAGAGATTATTGCTCTGTTCTTAGAACGAAACCAGCTCTCACCCCATTAGACCCAGGTTTATGGTGCCCAGTCCTTTCAGTTGTGCATCCTGGAGGGAACCCCGGGGAGCTTAGTGGAAACTGTGTCCTGTCAGTGCATTCACCCATTTGCAGGGGTGGCGATGGCTTACCCGGGTCTTTAGGAGCGTTGAGGGTTAAAATGTGTGTTACCCAGGTATTGCTACTGCCAGTGGGGTTGTGGTCGGTGCGGTCTTTTTCACTGGGGTGGCTAAAAGCAGGGTGTAAGTTGGACACAAGAGGAGCCCGGAGACGGCTGAGCCGCCGGGATGCCCCTTTCCCCAACAAAGCTTTGCTGGGGAGGCGTCTTGGTGTCCTCCCTGCATAACAAGGGCACGGGGCTTCTCGGGAAGCGATGTGTGGATTGGGGATAGTTTGAAGTTGATGAGGTGCGAGCTTTGCTGCTCACTTAGTGCTTTGATGGCTAAACTCTTCGGGAGGTCGGTTGCGTTTTCTGGCTAGACAGACGGCGCCAAGTTCAAGCTGAGAGGGTCCGCGGCCCTTCAACCCCGCAGCCCGGCCGTGGTCCCCGGCGGTGAGGGCTCAGCCCTGGGGATAAGGCCTTCTTGATAGCGGCTCCCCACCGCTTTTTCCCAGGGAGGCCGCGCTCCGCAGCTCCCCCGGGGTGAATGCCCGACGGCGGGGCTGGGGGGGCCCCGCCGGCCTCACATTATCCCTCGTCCCTGGTTTCGGGTGCCTGCGCAACGCGGGACCCCGCGGCTGAAAAGAGAGTGGGTAAAACCGTCTCGTTATCGGCACCGTCGGTATCTTTAAACGCCCCTTTGCGGGGCCGGGCCTGCCCGTGCCCTGCCCTGCGGGGGAGAGGGGCAGGTTTGAACTTCAAGGGGGTCTCCCCGGCCCCGCAGACACGCTGGAGCCAGGGGCTGTAGACATTTGCCATACGTGTGAACTTTCCTCCTCGCTGGCAGCTGTTATCTAGATCGGAA